ACATTTGTTAAGATGTTGGATTTGAAGCAAAAAAGGACATTGATCTCTGAGGGAAAACATTAAATAAGTCTCACTATTTCCATAGTCGGCTACCTTGAAAGAGTTTCTAAATCACAACACAGGAAGAGGGAACCCATATGAAGTCAAGAGGCTCACTACGTTGAGGAAGAGAGTCAGGGGTACTAAGGCAGCCAGAGTTCACGGCAAAGTACAAGAGAGAAGAGATGGACACAGGGCAACCCTGAAGGGAGGCAGTGGCCCCCTGGCAAGTATTCATATGAGGAAGCTGATCGGCACACGCATACAAGGGGACCATTTGAGATGTACACACACTCTCTCATACACAAGAGGGGACTTCAACAAGTTTGTGGGAAAAATCTGATGATCGTTTTTATTCCATTTTTCTCATGAACTTTTTGAAGCCTCGTTGTACATGGAAGCCTGGTGATGCGGGGATTAAGCACGGAGATGCTCACTCAAAGGTCAGCAATTCAAACCCAGGAGGCACACTGTGAGAGAGAGATGGGGCAGTTTGGTGCTGTAATGATTTACAGCCTTGGAAATCTATGGGACACCTCTACTCTAACCCATAGTGTTGCTGTGGGTTAGAATGGGTGATGGTAGTGAGCTTTGGTCGAAAGATTTAAACAGACATTTCACCAAAGGAGATGCAAGGATGGCATATAGATATAGATATTAGTTATGAAGTGTCATTGACTGAGTCCAACTCATAGCGACCCGAGGTGGAACAGAACACGACACTAGCTGTTCCTGTGCCAGCCTCACAATGGCTATGTGAAGGCCCACGTGATAGCCACTGTATCAATTCATGTCATTGAGCAGATGAAAAATTTCATGATTACATTTATATAAAACCCTAGAAAATATAAAATTATCTGTGGTGGCAAAAACAGATCAGCAATTGCTTGACTGGGTGTAGGAGACAGGGAGGAGGACTAGGGATAAGTTACAAAGGGGTATGAGGAAACAGACATAATGGATATGTTTACTATCTTGATTGTGGTATGACTTCATGCATATATATACATATGTCAAATCTTACATACGTACTATAACTGTTTGCAGTTTACTGTGTACTAACCAATAAACCTGTTTTTAAAACATTGCTCGTTTATAGGGTTTAGCCTTCTACCCCAACCAGTTTTTTAATACTTAATGGTTATAATGATTGATTACAAGGTAAATGCTCAGTAAACTGTAGCTTTAATTACACTTCTTTGAAAGTTAAACAGAAAAATGTAATGAAATATGACTTTTTTTACATTTCATACATTGTGGATATAGATAAGGTCCTTTGTTAGTCTGGGTTGACTAGAGAAACAAATTCATAGACATTCGTATGTGTATAAGAAAGAGCTTTATATACAAGAGCAATTGAATATTGAGAAAACATCCCAGCCCAGTCCAGATCAAGTCCATAAGGCCAATATTAGCCCATAGGTCCGACACCAATCTATAAATTCTTCCTCAGACTCACACAGCACATGCAATAATGCCGAATGCAGGAAGATCACAGGCCAGTGGGTGGAAAGTCTTATGGATCCAGCGGCAGCAGAAGCATCTCACTGCTGGCAGGGGTCCTCACGTGGCTCCTTCAGCTCCAGGGCTCTAGAGTAGCTCCATGTGTCTTCTCTACAGAAATGTCTCCCAGGGAGTAAGCTTTTTATCTCTGAGCCTCCAAATGAGGTCATTAAGCTGCAACCTGATTGACAGGCTAAATTCTACCCCTTCACTCTTAAGTCTCAAATTGACAACAGATTATGTAACTACCACAGTCCTAATCTAAAGTAATTGAGAACTAGAGTACCTCAGGAAATTATATTCTCAAAAATATGAAACTTAAAGTTATAGTCTGCAAGAAGCATATTGGAAGGTATTATCCTGTATATATTGCATTGGGATGTAATATAACACTGTAATGCCTTACTTCATCAAATCGGAAAAACTAGACAGTGAAACAGACCCCAGTTTTGTCTTTTACTAACATTTAGGATAAAACTTAAACTTAATATTTAGAATTCTAAGAAAATAACTAAGTAAAATCAATATGACTAACTCAAATAGGACATGAAAGAAAATCTACAATTCCTTTGTATTTTTCCTCACTCACATTAAAAATGAAAAAGCAGTGAGTGTGTAAAAAAGAATGATGTGAGGGAGGAGTCATGTAACCTCCTTTAACTTCACCAGGAGGAAGGAACATCAAACTCCCCATCACCATCACCCAGGCTGATTTCTGGGAGGTTGAGGTCAGACAGGCCTCCATCCAATTTTCTTTATCAATTTGGACACCAGCCATCCCTCCTATGTATTCACTATACCTCAACTAGGCTCCATAATTAATTACAGTGGCCACACAGAACCCATAGACAATATAATGATGGGGTTTATAAAGAAAGTTAATAGGTTGCAACTGCTCATAATACAATTAATAGGACAGGACCGCTTCTTCTCAGTGGGTGGTGCCTGAAAACAGGTCTCTCTCTGGTATATGGCCTCTCAGCTGCACTACCCATTGACTTCTGCCCTGCTCGTGCAATGTAACAAAGCATCTTAGGGTTGTCAATGCTTAGGGTAAGCATTGGACTGCGAACTATAAGGTGACTCAAACTTAACAGCCCCTCAATGAAAGAAAGATGAAGTTATCTGCTCCCATAAAGATTTACAGCCCCAGAAACCCTACATAGAGTTGCAGGGAGTTAGGATATACTCAATTGCAGTGGACTCTGTGTTTTGAGTAAGTGCTCAAAGGACATGCCATTGCACCAAATGCCTCAACCTGAAGGCACTCAGCTCTAGCTTCTGGGGTCAGCAAATGGAGCTCTTCCAATTAATTGCCTGGAGACACCCCACTCCACAAGTCAGCCTCCTGGCCCAAAGTACTCGGTTTTACCTGCTCAGCGGACTGGGAAATCGACTGCTCTGTTTTGTGGTTTGGATCTCGGTTCTACTGCTGTCACTCCTCTGCCACTCCTGGTGTCACAGCTGTCTCCTGAATCAAAGAGGCTCAATGCTCAGGAATCTTAGGGTCCACATGATATGCCCTACCCCTGGCTCTTCTCCCTTGCTTGTAGCAAGATTCACGGTCCCGTTCTGGGCTGGTTCATTTTATACCCAGCAGGATGGCAGTCATGCTTAGCCCTGGTTAACAATCACTCACAGCTGATTATAATCCTATCCGAATCTTCCTCTACTTTCTTCAGATCTATCAGGAGAGAGTCCTTTGGTGGGAGTTACGAAGTAGATGGGCCATATTCACGGTGTTTATTGAAAAACCCACTCTTTTACCTCAAATGATTCATTTTTCAGATGCATCTAACAACTATAAACCTCATACCAAAATTTTCTCCCCCCAATACTGTTTTATTTCTAAGTAAGTATGTAAAAAGAATTATATTTCATCTGTCTTTTCCTTTTTTTAATATTCCATAGTAGGAAAGATTATTGGGGACTCTCAGCAGATGGAATCTGGATATTAATTCACTATTTTGCTATCCTTTTTTATTACAAGAGCTTCCAATTTCTTTGTGTTAAATATGGAAGCCAGAGACCTCCTGACTGAATAGTTGATAAATATCCCATAATCAAAACCCCACCGGCGTCAAGCATTTCTGACTCATAGCCACTGTATAGGACAGAGCAGAGCCACTTCACAGGGCTTCCACGGCTGTCAATCTTCATAGAAAACAGACTCTCTCTCTCTTGAAACGGCTGCTGGGTTTGAGCTGCTGGATTTTATTTTTAACTGGTTAGGGGCTGAAAACATTAATTACTGTACCACTAGGCTTATCAACTATCCCATAGTTGTCCACAAATACTAAAGAGGAAAAGGAATTAGACTTGTTTGGTCCAACCCCAAAGACAGAAAGTAAGGCTGGTGGGAAGAAGCAACAGAAAATAGTTTACAATAAGGGACACAGTTAGAACTATATCAATAGAATATGTTGGCCTCATCAGCAATAAACACTCCATTATGAGGGATGGTCAAGGAGGAGCTGAATGATTAAGGGGAATTTTCGCTTCTGTTTTCAACCGAGGCTAAGATAAAATAGTCTCTATGGGGTAAAAATCCATAGCATCACTAAATAATTGGTCCAAAGAAGGGGTTCCAAAAAATAATTCTGGAAAAGTTTTAAAACTTATGTGAGCTCTAACTCTAGACTGTGAGCTGTCCATGTCAGCACCGATGGCGTTTGTTTCTGTCAGCTGGACACCCAATGCTGTTATGACGTAAAACATGTAAACTCAAGGGTCACTGTACTCAGTGATGTTACCTGGTTTAACAATGTCTCTGGATGCATACCATCTTACAAAGCTAGGACTATTAAACACACAAAAACTAAATAAATATCTTTGGTACTTATTAGATGCAGATTCTGGCTCTTATGCCCCAACTTTTCTCATTTAATATGTTGTGGTGGAGCTTCAGGAACCCCGGTGGTGTCCTAGACTACACATGGAGCAGTAACTACACAGTCAGCAGTTCGAACTCACCAGTCACACCATGGAGGATGAAGCTGTCTGTCCCCGTAAAAATTTGAAGTCTTGGATCTGCCAAGGGGGCAGTTCTACTCTGTCGTAAAGGGCCACTATGAGTCAGAAGCGACTCATTGTAAGTGAGTTGGTTTGTCAGACCCTACCCACTGACTTTGAGTCAATTCCGACTCAAAGAGACCCTATTGAAGGTTTCAGAGCTTAACTCTTTACGGGAGCAGACAGCCTCACCTGCTTTCTGTAGAGCTTTCGTGGGCTTGTACTGGCGACCTTGAAGTTGACAGCCCAATGTTTATCCAGCCATGCCACCAGTGATGTTGAGGGTAGGTGGTCATCAAACTACAATTTGACAAAAGCGTTCAAAAAGGAGACACTCGGGACTAACTCCCATTGTTTTCTATCTAAGAGATCATGAGAATGATATGAGAATCTAAACATTCAGATTCACAAGACAGATAATGACACATTTTTGGTTTTCTTCTCAGGGCCAGAAATCAAAATGAAATTTGTGGGACTTGCATTCATTGCCGGGCTAACTTTGCTGCTGGGAGGCCAAGCCATGCCTGCCAGCCGACTCTCTTGCTACAGAAAGATACTCAGAGATGGCAACTGCCACAACCTTCCCGAAGGAGTGGCTGACCTGACACTGATTGACGCCAATGTCCAGGATCGTTTCTGGAACGGGCAGGGCTGTGAGATGACCTGCTACTGCAATTTCAGGGAATTGCTCTGCTGCCCAAAGTAAGGAAACACAACCAGCACGTGCATTGCTATGAACTGTGTAGAGAACGACTACTTTTAAGACACCTTCTTAATGAACTTGCTGAAATTAATCACGCTTGTTAGTAAAATACTTTAAGAATCCAACTGTTTTCTAGGAGTGCTATCAGCTCATTCAATTGTGTAAGTTACTGAATATTTCCCTTTAAGAAACCGAGTTTGGTAGAGTTTAGTAAAATGAAATGAAACCCCCAAATGAATAACACTCCAATCCATTAAATTCTGTTTCCCATCAGATTTTTTTGTGCAAAAATATGATGGGGAATTGAGAACAGATTTTTCTCCCCACGAAGAATCTACTGGTTGCAGAAGTGGAACTCCAGGTTGCCATCCTAAGCCAATTTGAAAACCAATAAAAGGCTTTAGATGGAATCAAGTACAGGTAGTCCCCAACTTCCAACAGGATCTCATCCCATAACCAACTTCTAAGACTATTCTGACATTACGGGAAATGACTACTTCCTATTGCCGCCGTTTGCTATCAGTATCTCAGTATCGTTGTAAATCTGGTCTTTCTCTCTGAGTGTCAGCATGGGGGTAACATTAACAAACTATGTACTGCAACACTCTATGTAGTACATGTTACTTACAATCAAGGGGTTAAAACATGGATGTTTGGAAGTGCAATTTGTGGTACGGAGAATACAGCATAGGTCGGAGACTACCTGTAAATAGCTGGACAGAAGAGATCAGTAATAGTCAAAGCCTTACAGTTCCCTGTTAATCTCTGGCATATTTTAAGTGTAAGCAATAGGAGATGCACCAATAAATATTTTTAGTTCTTGATTTTAAAATTAGCCTTCTCTGATTACTGGAGACTCTTCCAAGCATTATGATTTTGGATATTTCATATCCAAATGCCTTTCAATGCATGCCATCATATTTTTATTCTTTTAAGACTCCTGTGAGGTATGAAGACTAGATATCACCTTCCAACTAAGGAAAATGTAAACACATTATCTTAAATAACTAGTTAATATCCATTTCAAGACTAGAACTCAGGTTTTCCAACTTGAACTATTTGTTTTTTCCTTCTATCAAATCACTGTTTCTCAAACTGTGTTTCCCAAAAGACCAGGGTCAATACCACCTCAGTATATTGAGGTGTATATCCTTGGGCCCCATCCTAGACCTAATGAATCAGAAACCCTAGGAGTGGGTCCCGCAATCTTTTTTTTATTTTTTCCCTTCTTTTAGCAAACCCTCCAATGATGCTGAGAATCACTGTACTAAACTTTGGAATTAAGAATTTGAATCAATAGAGCATATGAATTGACTTTGTTTTTCCTGGCCTACAGAAACGAAATGCCATCTAATATTAAAATATTGTGTTTGCTTTATTGGTAATTGTATGACTTGAAACCAAATTACTGAAATTGATTTGTATTTATCTCGATATAATTTTGTGATTAGCTGTGCTAAGACTGAAACCAGCAACTTAGACACATAAAAGTAATTTTATTTGGGGATGTCATTTTCCTAGTAGGAACTGATTTACCTGGATAATTATATTTCTAATTAGTCAGCATAATTCTATGAATTTTTCTACATGCTACCTTATAGGATCTTTCCAACCAGAAGAGAGTTCACTAGTGTTTTATGTCTCCTTTATAAAATTTAGAATTGTATTTAATGACTTTCCTAAGAAATTTCCAATCTTCTGTTGCTTACTTGAAGATGGGCATACTTCATGGCTCATTTCCACCCACATTACAAAAAGGAAAGTTAATATATGATTATAAAGATTTGGAAATCTGGAAATTACTCTCCACTTTTAGCCCAGAAAAGACTAACAAATACTTTAGCACCCAGCTGAATTTAATTATTATTCTAATTTCTTTCAGGGATATCTTCTTTGGACCAAAGATTTCTTTTGTGATTCCTTGCAACAAACCCTGAAAATCTTCATGTATTCTGGAAAATCCCAGCCCTGAATTCCCACAAATTACACTATACCAATACAAATGCATTTGTCACTTCTCTGCAATGCCACCAGTCACAGAGTCTATAGATTCTTAATTGTCCAGGATAAGTAAAACTGTATTCAACAATAAAAGTTAATTCAAATTTATTTTTCACTATGGACTTTTTTTGCATTAATTTAATTTTTTTTTAATATCCACAAAGTTGTTCACAACAATCTGTAAGACTGGTTTGTTCTCTCTCAGCTGAACAGCCACAACCCTGGCTAACACTTTGAGTTCCTAGTTGGTAGTTATTGAAAATGAATACTTAATGAACTAGGCATACATTGAAATTCTTGGGAGGGGAGCAGCAAGTTTTCTAGTAAAACAGGAAAAGGTGGCCAATGTTTGAACATATGTTATGTGTGCTAGGTACTTTAAGCATATTTTCATTTCACCTTCTTAAAAACAATTTCAAGGTAAGTGTTCTCAGATCTACTTATCAAATGCTAGCTCAAGTGTAAGATATTTACAAAAAATCAAAGCAGGATTTGAACAAAATTTTAATTCTAAATTCCATATTCTTTCCAATACTCCTACTTCTAAAACTGAAAAATTCTGAACTTTCACCCTTCAAACATCCTCAACCTTAATATCTCTCTCACACACACACACACACACACACACACACACACACTTCAAAACCATGAATAGATAACTTTTTTTTTTCTTGAGAATAACAAGAAAAGAAATGGAATGAAAATTTTAAAGCGACACTCATTTGAAAAATAAAGACCGTGCCTCTAAAGCTGTGTTTTGGTAGTTAAAGTCAGCTTTGGATTATGCCTCCAGACCTTTAAGAAATATGCATCTACTCTTTGGGGACTTACCCACTTGGAACTTGCATTTTAATGCAGGTGATAAGTATGCATACGTCAATCAGGATCTCTAAAGGTGAAGCCTGCGACAGAAGAGTATTGTTGTGGGTAAAGGTCGAGAAGCTCCATACCAGGCAGTCAATCTGAGAGAGACCATTGTCTGACTGAGCATGTTACTAATTAGTTGAAATACACCCTCTGAGGTTCCTGGCCCATTTCTGAAGACCACAGTCAGAGCAGTGCTTGTCATACATGTGCTCACTCAGTGTTACTAAGCTGGATTAAATAATTTTGAGGTAGTTAGAATCTAGTCCCTCTCCAGATATATACAAACACAATCAGAACCTGTTTTTACAATGGTATGATCCACAGCAAATGCATAAGGAAGTAGAGCTGTCAAAAGAAATAAAAATAATTGCTTTATCAACATAGTATGTGATTTGATTGGACTTTTTTTCTTTACTGAACTGCCTAATATTAAAATCAGATTAACTCAATAATATGTCTCATTCTAGTGCCTGGGATAGGTAAATATAGAAACCTATCAATAAGCTTGTTTCATTTTCTACTTGGTATAAATGTGTTAAAGATGCAGTATCTTTATTTCACAAACATAAATATGTATGTGAAGCAAAATGATTTTTAAATTAAAGTTCCTTGGTGTATTTAAAACCTGATGAGAAAAATGCTCGGAAAAAAAAGCTAATATGTTATCAATGGAAATATATAGATTGATTTTTCATCACATTGATTTTTCTAGAAGTCACATTGTAATATGAAATTCAATCACATTACCCTCATGGCATAGTGGGTTACTCACTAGGCTGCTAACCACAAGGTCTGCAGTTTGATTCCACCAACCATTCCTTGGGAAAGGTTATGAGGCGTTCTACTCCTATAAAGATGTACAGCCTCCGGAACCACCAGGGGCAATTCTACTCCGTCCTGTAGGCTCACTCTGACCTGTTGGGGTCAGAATCCACCCCACTGTACTGAGTTTTGAGAAATTATTAAATGTAAAAACATGAATGTTCACACAATTTACCTTATACTTTTTCTGACTTGGTAACTGTTCTTGACAGCAACTTCCATTCAATATTAATGAATCCACCATTGTTACTAATTAGTTGATTACAAGGATCTACATATAACCTCCTCCCTGGGGGATGGAAAACAGAAAAGAGGGTGAAGGGAGATGTCAGGCAAGATATGACAAAATAATAATTTATAAATTATCAAGGGTTCATGAGGGAGGGGGGTGCCAGGGAGGGAGGGGAAAAATGAGGAGCTGATGCCAGGGGCTTGGGTGGAGAGTGGATGTTTTGAGAATGATGAGGGCAATGAATGTACAAATGTGCTTTACACAATTGATGTGTGTATGGATTGTGATAAGAGTTATATGAGCCCCTAATAAAGCTATTAAAAATAAATAAATAAACAAAAACATAAGCGTACCACTATAGAATGGTTTCACAATATGCTCATCTTTGTGTGATAGTATATTTAGAGATAAATAAATAGCATATAAGTAGCATTCATAGCCTAAGAATTTTATAATTTTCAACAAAAAAAGAAATAATCTCTATTTCCAGATATTTATAGAAATAAAAAGATAAATCAATTGGTTATGATAGGCATTTGTCCTAAAATACACATATGGTAATGTAGTAGCAATTAATATCACTATTTTTTGAAGATCACAGTCTATGATGTTGATAATAGGATATGATATACTATAAATCCAAGTTTATAGCCAGCATCAGTTTTTATAAAACAAATCCAAAGAACTGAAAAATCCCAGAGGAATGAACTCTGTAGTATTCCAAGTAGCAGTCACCATTCATAAAAGAAAAATGAATATGCAACAGAAGCAATAGGAACTAGTCTTGGTAAGATATTGCTTGTCATTTTAAAACTAAATCCATTAAATAAGCAATAACGTGGCCAAAAGTTATTTTTAACCACCATCACTTGCCTAAATAGCATAATATGAATTTTGCTATAAACTATTACATAGAAATAAGATAGAGTATATATTTTCAGGAAATGTATTTCAGGCATTACTGTGTTACCTTTTCCTCTCTTTCAGTCATAGGTAGTTACCAAATAGCTTGATTTAATAATGCTAAAAGTAAATTATACCTTTAGCGAATACAAGTTTCTATTTACTTTTTTCTTCCAATATAAATGAGTAGAAAGGCTGTTAGTTAGGTTATAATTTTATTTTAGAGTCCTAATAGGATAAAATAAAAATAAAAATGGACTTTCCCAGCACTGATAAAAGTGAAAAGTTCTCAACTTACAAGAGCCCACTGTCATGTTTTAAATTACTCTAAGAATTATTTCATTTCATTGGTTAGCCACCACTTAAATGCTTAAATTAACATCACTAAACAAATTACATTCAGACACTAATGTAACCAAATAAGTTCAAGTCCCCGCCCCCAAAATGGAGTGCATTTTTATGTTAGCTACACTATTTATTTAAGTTAGATCTTTATAGTACATTACTCAAATCAACCCCCACATCTGATAGCTACATAATTCATTTCAGTATAGCTAGAAAACAACTCCTCATAGGGCTAGTTGGGACACCAGAAATAAGCGTGCTATGCCAATTGCTATAACCCGTCAGTCAAGAAAGCAATAAGAAAATCTTAAGAAAACTCTCGGCAAGAACATAGGCCAGATGCACATTGTTCACCTCATTGTTCAGCTGTCAATACACTTGGAAGAGAAATACGATCTTGCCTTCTAATGTACCAGTGCTTTAGATTTTATGATAACTGTGGCTTCTCAACCAGGGAGATGTTACCTCCATGGGATATTTGCAATGTTTAGAGATAACACCTTTGGGGAGCTACTGGCATTAGTGAGTAGCTATCATTGCTAAACATCCTGCAACTTCCCACACAAAGAATTATCCAGGCCTAAACTGTCAACCTTGAAAAACCTTGAATGAGCCTGTATTAGTCTGGGTACTTCAGAGAAACAAATCCACAGAAACTCATATAAAAGAGAGAGTTTTATATAAAGGTTAACTGTGCATCAAGAAAACATCCCAACCCAGTGCTGCCCAAGCCCACAAGTCCAACATTAACCCATTAACCCATATGTCCAACACCAATCCACAAAGTCCTCCTTTATCTCACAAAACACACACTATGACGCTGACTGCAGGAGGAAAGCTGAGTCAGTGAACATGTAAGCATCTCAGCACTGGCAGGGGTCTCCACACGGCTGCTCCAGCACCCAGGGCTGCACCGGGGTAGGTCCATGTGGCTTCTCCTCAGGGATGTCTTGCAGGAAGTCAGCCTTGCAAGCTGAAGCAGGGAACTGCTAAGGCAGCTGCATCAGAAAGCAAGATACCCGAGAACTCAAAAGGCGAGGCTCACCAAGCCATTTATCCCTCCACGCTTCAATTAACCCCACATGTGTTTATCGGCCAGGTTGGCACAATAAACTAACTAACTCAATCCACCCCTTGCCAACTTGGCACCTGTACATAATTCTTTAGCTTCACAATTGCAATTAAGTAACACCTACACCTTAATCCTATAATCCTGTGAATGTTCCCCCACCTATGAAAGTTTGTAAGCCAACCACTTTATGCCTTTATCCCCCCAATTCTGAGTATCCAATTTATACAATGCCCACTTACATCAACCCAGTTCTGAGAAGACAATCATATTTTCCGACATGAAGAGTCTTCATTCCACTTGGAACCTTGTGAAGTCTGCATCCATAAGCAAAGACAAATCCGGACAGGCCATCCATAAAGTCAGCAACAATACGCACCAGTTCACAGGCTCAAAAATCTACAGCTGGTCGGCTTCTGGTCAGCTAAATGTGGGCTGCTTCTCTCAGCCTCCTCCGGGTGCCCATTGGTCGCCTTGCCTAGACCTTGGGCTCTCACAAACTCAATAAGCCTAGCCCCCTCAGGCTAGGTCATGAACCTTAGACCAGTCAACCCGCTCTCCTCTATTCCTTTTTTTTGCCCTGTAAACCAAGTCCACAGGTGTCAGCGGCCAAACTCAACCTCTCTTTATTGCAGCATTTCTCCCACTTCCACTCAACAAGTAGATCCAGGTGGTCACCTAGCAAGCATTTCAGCCTCCTCACAGGCTCCCTTTATCATTCAGTCCCAGAAAGGAGTTTTCTTCATGGTTCCTGATTTATTCCAGTTTCTGACAAAGACTACTGGTTCCTGAGTACTCCAAAGCACTGGGTGGGACATATATTTTTACAGACATGGCCTAAACCCATTTAAAGATCAAATTTTAATGACT